CATGCAGTGGCGGGTTTTGTGCCACTTGGACACGTACACCATGGGGGTCGCGATCGATGGCAAGTCGAGCAGCAAGTTCCGCTGCAACGTCTTCGCCTCTTCGCACGCTTCCGCTTCCTACTCGCACACGCATGACGTCGACGGCCGCGACGGTTCGCACGTACGATAAACTCTTTAAAGTGGCCGAGCAGCGTCACTTTCTTGGTCAGGTCGCGCGGGTACTCGGCCAGGTTGTGGACGCTCTGGGGGCTGTCCATCGCTTGGTCTGGCGGTTTGGTCACGTACCCAAATGTCGTCGAGTTGGCGATGATCTTGGTCGCGTCGTTAAAGTAAACGCCCGTGCACTGGTTCGACAGGAGGTACCCGAGGCCGTACTTGGACGTGTAGTCGACGAACTGGAGCACCCACAACGTGGCCGGTTGGCACGGCGACGCGCGCAGTTTTGCCTGGAGCAAGTCTCGCCCCGCGACATTCTCGGCATTTTCTCCCGCCGCCAAGAAGAACGCCGTGCTCAACGTGTCGGCCATCGCATCGAGCGTATCGATGTAGGACGGCCGGGGGCTCACGCGTTTGCCGTCTTGGCTCGTGGAAAGCGATGCGCGCCGTAGTGGACCGGCCTGCAATGGCCGAGCCTCGTGCGACGATGGAGTCCCGGGTGGCGGACGAGAGGCTTTGGCCGGAACGTTTGAATCGATGAGTGGTGTGAGCGGCGAGCGATGCCGTGCCGATGACTTGGATATAGGTGGCGGCGTGAGGAACATGGCGCTGTCGGGAAGGGCATCCGGGATGGCTTCTTGAAGAAATGGATGGGCGAGAATCGTCCCGATCGACGGTCGTTGCGTCGGGTCTTTCTGTAGCAGGTCCATCACGAGCGCCTTTGCGTTGGCCGAGATGGAAATGTGTGGCGGGAAGCTGTAGTCGTTGGCGCGGATCAGCTTGTACGTGTTCTTGACATCTTTGGTTTCGAATGGAGGCTTGCCGACGAGCAACGTGTACATGACGACCCCCGTGGACCAAATGTCGACCTCGAAGCTGTGTCCGCTGTTGTGGTGGCCGTTGAGAATCTCGGGCGCGATGTAGTTGGGTGTGCCGCACATCGTCCGCCGCTTCTCTTCACGCGAGTCAAGCATCGAGGCCAACCCAAAGTCGCCGATCTTGAGCTGCATGTCGGCCGTCAAGAAGAGATTCCCCAGCTTCAAGTCGCGATGGATCACGCATCTCGAATGCAGGTACGCGACGCCTTCGATGAGTTGATGGATGTAGTAGCGGACTTCGTGCTCGGACAAGCGCTTCCGCCGTCGCAGCAAGTCGGACAGACTCTATGGCGGTAACACGAGGTAGACGAGATCGAAACGATGGGCCACCAACCTGATTCGAGCACAGTTCGAGCAACATGTAGCAGTTGGCATCGTCCTCAAAGTAGTGCTTGAACTGGACGACGCGGTGATGCTGGAGCGTTCGGTGGATGCGAATCTCCGACGTGAACTTGAGACGGGCTTTCGGTTTGACCAAGCTTTGTTTCTCGACAATCTTGCCGGCAAACTTTGCACCGGTCGCATCGTTTGTGATCTCGTAGCATCGAGCAAACCCTCCCTACATGCCGACGCTACCATGACGAGTGCTCCGTTCCACGTGAGCATGTACCTTGCCAAGGAAGCGATGCCGTGTGTACGTTCGTGTGGACTCATGGCCTTGCTCGTCCACGCACAGCTCCGTGATCGTCCGCTGCAGGTCAGCCATCGGTCCACCGCGGCACTCGTGCGACCCAAAGATCACGTTGAAATAGTCCCATTGGAAAATAGACCAATCCGATCCATGATCGGCATTTATTTTAGCCAATAAAAATCGTTTGCGTTTTTGAAATTTGAATTCTCGTCACGCATGACGTGGCAATCCGACCGGCGTTGAAACCACGTTCGAGTCGAAACGTGGGCCGCTTCCTCCGCTCGTTCGTTGCTAGCCCACTGCGCCATCTAGCCCGGGGATGTAGCAACGTTGGTTCATACAGTCCATCATGGGATTACAGTTTACGGCGGGGCATGCACAATGACGTGGCATCAAGCGACGATCGTCACGTTTTCTATTGGCATGATCCAGCAAAAACACTCGAAAGTTCGGCGTCCGGGGCACCGAATGGCTTATGCACCTCTGCGTACGGCTCGCGCACTCAATTAGTGCATGCGCCTTGTATTTCCCATCGGTCACAAGTCACGACCGGCGACTGCACATTGGCATGCGGATAGCCATTGTAGCTAGCGCGAGCTGCGTTTACGCAGCTACACTTTCCGTGTAGCGCAGCTCAATGACCGCCGCAAGTATAAGCGCGTCAAGGCGAACGTGCATGCCATTCACTTCCTGACGTGGCAGCACGAGGTTGCGCGAGAGAGTTGTGGGCTTCAACCTGCGCAAGGCAGCCAATGGGAGCTTGATCCTTTGAAATTCAATATCCAAAGAAAGAGGAATCGTAATATCTCGAGTTTGTCGCGGCTCCGCACCAACCGAATATGGCCGCGAACGCGACGCTCCTAGGACTGCTTCCCGCTGGCTCGTTTGAGAAGCTGCACGCACTGAAGAGTCTTGGCGTGTGTGTGCGATGCATCCTGCGGTATGCGGCCGTCACCGATCACGAGCTGTACAGGTAGACGCAGCTACCGCCCGTGAAGTCCCGTGCTCATGAACTCGATGCCAGCCTTGACTCTGCCGAGCTGAGCGCGACGTGGGATACTTTCTCTGCTGCGCAAGGGCAACCTGTTCCTGACGCTCCAGCGGCCATCGCAGGTTTGTGTTGACAACTTGCGCATCTACCATTCTTCTCTCGAACGGCGTCACGAATCGACTGCTCTAGGAGTGTGCACGTGCTGCCTGGACGTGTTTGAAGGCGCATTGGGCGCTAGTAACCGCGCAGATCTCGTCGCCAAGGCGAAAGACTGGTCTGGTCGTCATGATGTTGAGCACGACTGACGTGGACCATCGATAGTGGGTACGCCACGACGACGTTTATGATTGCGATCCAAATTCCAAGTGCGACATTGATTCGGCAGCATTCGTTGAGCCACCACGTCAAGTTCCCATCGACCCCGATTGACCTGAAGGAGGTCCTGAAGGTGGTTTCTCCGATGTTCGTCGCGCTGGTGTGATTGCAACGTGTGCATGTAGTGGTGCCTAACACCAATTTTGGCGACGGCCTTGAACAACGCGACGTACGTCGCGACGAGCGACGTCAGCATCCACTTGCACTTTCAGCACGAGCTGTCTGAACAAGAAGCGATGCAGGTTCCCACCATTCGGGTACACAACCAGATAACGCAGCTCGCACGGTTGTTGACGACGGCCAGGACACCATCATGCAAAATAAACGGCGCAAGCTCGAAATCGACGCATTTGGCGCCGTGACGCGGGCGCTGCAGTCCATGCACGATTTTCCTTCCACGATGCCGGTACGTGCGGACGATGGCGTCCGAGTGGTCTTGACGAGGGGGTGTTTTTAGTGCCCGCCGACAGTGGCGAAGACGCCATGCTCGCTGACCGTCAAGATGGAGCGCGCGCCGACGTACGTGGCAGGTCGATATTTGAAGTACCAGCGCGGACTGAGCCAAACTCCGTGGTATGACCAATTGTGTTGGAGATGTCTTTCACGATGCGCTGACAGGGTGCTCGATGGCGAACGGTTGGGCGAATCGTCGGTGGAGGAAGCGATTGGGGATATCGTATTGCCGCATTTTCACGCAAAGTCGTACAAGTTTCACACGGCAGGGCGCGAAGACGTCGACGTCCGCATGCTCGGCAATGGCCGACCGTTCATCCTCGAACTCATCGGTACGATGCGCCAGCCCCGATTGCGTCGTGCTCATGGTGGTTGCAGACGCCAAGGTGGCCGCGCTCCCGTCGCCCGCGCATTACGAAGTACGACGACATGCTAGTGTCCGAGCCCCTCACGACAGAGCTGTGTACAAACTAGAGGATACAGGCAGAAGTGAACGAAACGAATGCCGACCGCGTCGAGATTCGCGGCTTTCAACTCACGGACAAGGTGGGTTCGCCATCGATGCTGACCGACCTGGCATCGATCGCGGTAGAAACGGTTCTCGGTCCTGCAAGCTGGCGCCGACTCGAAGCGGAAAACGTACTGCTGTGTCGTATGGGTCGCTGAGAAGCTCACGCCGGACCGCGTGGCGACTCTCAACTCGATCTCGGACCTGGCCGTCGCGCAAAAAACGCCTGGTACGTTCTTGTGTGCGCACCGAGTCAATGGACGCGCCATAGTGCGGGTGCTCCACCGCCGCACGCTGTTGACGCGGCCCAAGGTGATCCACAGCGCCAACGTGACTGTGCTCAACGACCACTACATGCTCCTACGCCTGACGACGTCGGCGGGGACGTATGTGAAAGAGTTTGTCCATGGCGATCTCGGCCGGACGTTGCCGAATGTCTCAACGTTGCTGGTGCGGCGGCGAGCACGCAGGATGCCGTGGCTGACGAACGTGCTGTAGGGATGCGATGCCGACATCTTGCAACTCGATGTGGAAGATCTCGTCGAGTAAAAGTTGCAGTCGACGCAATGCATGCACGGCATCACGATGGTTGGCTGGACCAGCGCGACGTCTTGCCCTGGGTCGTTGAACGTGGCGCAATCGGTCGTCGTCGCGAGTCGGAGCTCAAATGGCGAAACAACGATAAAAGTGTGCTGTTCGTGGCAGGGGAAGGTCGGGAAAGCTTCATCGCTCGTGGAAACTAGACGTCGCAACAGACTCTCTGATGGACAGTGTGTGCACG